GTACCAAATCTCAAAAATAGTACTAGTACCACACCTGACAAAATCAAGCACAGTCCAACACATGGTGCATGTACATGTACCACTAGCTAGTTACTCTTGGTAGTGACTGCTGTACATGTATGTACTTGTATGTCCCCATACCAACAAAATCCAACACCATTACCCACAGCCTTTGTTTCTCAAGCCAACATACCGTAGTTGAACAAGTTCACATCTGGTACTAAATTCATTAAAACTTGACAAAACCTTTTGCTGGAATTTAAGGGACTTCGTAGCATTTAGGGGTAATGTTATATTATATATGCACATAATCCATGCGGTAAATAATAACTGGCAGTCTGGTAGGAGTTAAATTGGGCCACTTTAAGCTCACTAAACTAATTATAGAGGGTTGTCATCTTGCAGGCTGGTACTTTTGTTCCACAGGATGTCGGGCAACTCAACCGTTTGCCAACTCGACTGTTGAGACAACTCATCCAGTGGGATAACTTGACTGTTTACCAAGACAACTTGTTGTTCAAGGCATGTACATTACAAAGTTTAAGGCGTGTGTGTTTGACAAGATAATGGTGCTTTTAAATTTAAACAAAAGTGAGTGTGAAATGACTATAAAGCACTAACGCACTTGTTACAAGACAACTTGTCTCAATCAATGATTTGTCTCAATGGTCGAGTTGTCTGTCCATTTGAGGCACAAATGGTAGAGTTGTCTCACCGGTCAAATTGTTTCAACAGTTGAGTTGGCAAACGGTCCACTTGTCTAAGCCCCGTTCCACAGGGTATGCACAAAGGTGACTTTACTTTGGAAGAAAAGAAATGCCCTACATGTATGAGATGGTTACAGGTCTCTATTGATACCGGTAGGACTGGACATTCCAGAATCCATCCAAATGCCGCCAGACAGTGAGTTACAAATATAATACATCGTTTGTTGATCTAGAGGGATTGATATGTTGTGTGATTACTGGTATGATTTCAGAAATTGATTTTCTAAACATCACATACACATACAACATACATGTACATATTAATGGACATTCACACAACCAATCTCTTTAGAAGGTGAATTAATGTGTGAAGACCTTCGCTGCATGTACAAAAATACAAAGTGCAATACTTCCTGTATCAATTATGTCTATACAAGTACATGTACAAGTACATGTACGGTACACTGTTGACTGAAAAATAACACTGGAGAGAACTTGAAATAGAACTAACGCAACCTTTGACTACAGTCACTGTTTGATTAAGGTCACGGGACCACCCATAACACAAAGGATTCCCTTTGGTAACTGATGCCCAAAACGATAATCATATATACCGGTAAATGTGCAGTGTACTATACATAATGATAGTCTCAAATGGGTGTTACACAACTGTTATCTCAATATATACATGTACAGGGACCTTTTTCATACACATGTAGTTGATGATGCACACGTACATGTACCAAGTGTGTATCCTATCATTCTTTACGACAGAGATCAAGAAATCTTCCACAAATACACAAACTGGTACACACGTATTCTACATGTACAACTCATTAAATCGTAAAACCCTGACTCCAATGAATTGTATTCTGTCTTTTATTTATTGAGTCAAATAATGATTGGAAAATACATGTAGATGAATTGGAGTATGAATTTTGGACTGCAAGACACACTCTGGATAAACTTCCATACATGTACACTGTACATCTGAAATCACACAGATAGAATGGGGTAACATTACCTGACACATGATAAAATCCTGTCCATCCTGAACAGGAAGTTAACTTACACATATGTCACACAGATTGTCCTTTCAACCTGAGGTGCATGTACATGTATACATTCTGAAAGGGCAGAAACAGCACTCCAGTACATGTACATGTATCATCTTATAAAGACAAATCACTAACTGTAAATCATAAATAAATTTATTTTTCTCTCAATATGTGTATAGGCCATTCTATCAAAGTTTAAAGATTCCCTAATTGTGGTGATTATTATAAATTAGATCACACTTGTACACATGAACCATTCGACAAAAAAGATTTTCTTAATATTTTCTGTAGGGTGTACATGTAAACAGATGTAAAACACACGTACATGTACATGTATATTAAGTACTGCAAGAAGAATAATGTCTCTTAGCTGAAGGACACAAATACCCACGAAGTATTGTAAGAATGCCAAATGACTATTTACATATGGTACATGTAAGTGTACAAAGTACATGGTCATCTTTCAAAATCAACTTTAAGCCTGCTGGAACATTTCTTTTTGCCACAGACATGACAGACTGCCAAGTTCCACAGCACATGTACATGTTTAATGTATGCATTCACATCTACTAGAAGCACCAATAGGAAATGCCAATGTACATGTACTATCCCAAACATTGGGGTGTTACATCACATCACAGTGTCTCCTGTTGTCATGAGCTTGTTCAAATTACAAGGAAATTTATTTCAAAGATGCATCTACACGTCGTCCACACAACGAACAAATAAATTTGATTTCATTTTGATTTCTACGTCTTTGCTTGGCCACAACTTCATTTAGAGCCAATTCTTTCTCTTTCAAAAATGGTTACACACTGTGAAAAGTTTATCTAAGTTATTTGTGGGGTGACCACAAATACATGTACATGCACATATGTACATGTACGTACATGTATGTGCAAACATGTGGCAGATAACAAATAAAAATGGCAGAATTGTTTATCAAATATATGTATTTTGCATTGATTTATGACCCATTACAACCAGAAAATCACAAACCTTTGTTTTGGCAGATCAAAGTAACGGCATAGCATGTAGACTGTTCATTAAAACTCCAACAACACTTTTATGGTTACATGTTGTTTTGATAGACGAAAAGTTTTAAGGCTGATCATATATTTCTGAGATGACAAAGGCTTGAAAGATAATTCACTTCAATGGAAAGTGGCTAGAAATTCTGGGAGGAAAAAAATCTGATAGGATGAAACAAATATTCCTCATGAGATGGCTGTTACCATTCTTATTTCCATTTTCTTGAGTAGAATCAAACAATACTTCAGTTCATACTTACAGTGGCTTCATGACAAATGCTGCATTTGACCACATGTTGATGCATCCTCCCTTCTAGATTTATCATGGCTTGACAAACACGGCAGTTGATCATCGGTACACCACCACCTGTGTCTCCACTGGTTGGAGGTGAGTAAGGGGGCGGTAACTCACCAGGTTGGATTGGAGGAGGGACATCGCTGCCTAGCACTGGTGGAATTTCTAAGTAAAGAAGAAAGAAAAGGTACTCAAAATTCAAGTATCAGGGTTTTTACACCAGATTTTTCTAAACATGCTTGTTACTGTTCCTAAATGCTTTGACTTGAAGGATCGTAACACTGAAGAATTAAATTAGAGAGAATAAGCAGTGTTTCCATATATATAACATTGTCTTTACTGGTCATCTGGCTAATTTTCAGCAATACAAATGGTGAAGAAATGAAGAATGTTGCCAAGAAGAGAACATGACGTCTTCAAAAAGACATACATGTATTTTGTGACAGAAACTGGTTCATCAATGTAGAGCCTTCAGTCCTTCAGTGGTTTAGTGTTAAGGCCTTAAATGCTACATGTACATGTACATACAATCAATAGATGGGTGTTCTAAACATGCCACAAAAGAATACAGAACTAGCAAAACTTCAAGTCCATTAAGTTTTGAAAAATCCGACAATAGGTTTGCACATATGACATGGTACACCTTACATCAGACAAGTATTTCGGTATGTACTGTACGTATACACTACTCTCATTTCGCCTGCAAATTGTATGGACAGCCAAAGTTTGTAGAAATGTTACCTTTTGGTCAGTTTTTGATTGGCCCATTTGATTTTACTAATCCATTCAAATTGGACATTGATTTGATTTTAAATAGGGTCGCGTTTTTAATGTAATATTTAGTAGTTATTATCTGGTATTCTGATACTGTAGCTGTGTAGGATATTTAACGCTCCATGAACTATTCTTTCACTTTTGCACTGATGGCCAACCATAGTCTGGGCACTTTTAATAGCAGCCACTAGTGGAAAAAAACATGACTGTGAGGTCAAGAAAGTAGACTCTATTTGCCAAGGTGCCACTGGACTGCAAATTCCAGTTTTTCACATATTGCTGAATCTTTTATGTCTTTTGTCCCAATATGTAAGTTTGGGTTCATGCTGTCTGTTTTGTAGGTGTACATTGTACATGTAGGTGTCCATTGTACATGTAGGTGTACATTGTAGGTGTCCATTGTTCATGAAGACGTACATTGTAGGTGTACATTGTACATGTAGGTGTACACTGATTCTTTGGTTTGCTCTTTCTGAAACTGAAAAAAAAATAAAGGCAATTTCAAGTGATGGCCAGTTTGGTATCATGACCTTGAAAGATCCCCCCCCCAAAAAAAATGCTTAACCAATAGCACCGAAGGTAAGCCAGGCCTCAAATAGTACTAGCCCGGCGTACAAATTCTAGCAAAAAATGCTCCAGGCTACCTTAACTTGGTTCCTTGGTTGCCAGGTGGGCTAGTGAAAAATTCACAATAAGCCTACCTGTTAAAACTTAGATCAAAATATATAATGCTCGTCGTGATAATAAATACAAGATCGCAAAAACTGAGTTGTTGTGGATGTGTTCTTACTTGTGTTTTTGAAATGTGATGCTCGCGCGACCGCGACAGGGCGATGAACGCCATGAAAAGAGTAGACTGGTGGGTTGTAGTACCGGTATAGCATAGCACATGGTGCGGCACGATACCACACGAGCACACTATGCTCGTTCACTGTTCAGGCCACTTCTGCTCCTGACTACGTTCCTCTCAAAAATAGTATCGGTAGGTCGGACTTTTGTTTAGTCAATTTTTTGTGCAGATGTAATACTGGTAGCCTGAATTGGGGATGAAAGCTTTCAAACATTGTCTCAAACAGTGATAAAAACATGTCTTGATATATGTAAAATTTCTGCAGTCGACAGACCACAAGAATTATGGACAATCACACAATGTTAGTCAGGTAATCACGACGGTACACTGGCCAGCAATGTCCGCGTACTGCGTGGTAAGCATACATGATACATGCAGACGGGCGATAAACCACATGCCATGGCAGGAACTCGAGAGCACAGAAAATAAATACATAAACAAGAGACGAACTTCTGTGAATTAACTTGAAGAAATCCTCTTGCAACATAGATGTTTATTGGACCTGCAGCTGCAGCACATTTCCATCTCGCATTCTTTTGCATGGGCGCGACGTGATGGGAACCAGCACAGCTTTACTTTCATGCATTGAGCTTTGCGCACAAAATTTCACTACTGCGACTGCGAAACACAAGTGGAACTCGTGAAAATGACAGAAGTTTCTTTTCAAAAATTGCAAATGAAGTAGGAAAACATATAAAACCAAGCGTTTTAACACGAGAAAGGGTTGTTGAAAGGTAGTTTGTGAAGAGAGAAAAGACATCGGCATTAATTTTTATTTTTTTTTAATTTTGTAAATTTGTTTTCAAAACTTGCCGATAAAAATGTAAGGGTCGTGCCGAAAAGTAAGTAATTATGCATATGGAATTCCATTGAATTAAAGCACATTTTGGTACCTTTTTTAGCATGGCTTTGACTTGAAAATACATACGGGCCGCACTATCATGGCCTGCACGGCTTGCTAGCTAATACACTGATGCTACTGCACGATTTGTTGGTAAATTTGCAGTTAGCTAATCGCCTTTTCTCTCTGATTGGTGGTTGTGGAAGATTGTTTCAAAAAAGGGAAGTGAAGTCACAGATATTGTACAGGATTGAATGATAGCACAGTTCCTGTTGGACAAGTGTGCTGATCAACCAAACAAACCCCAACATTTGTCATGTCTGTATTCTAGCTACCTGTATGTAAGTACTAGTACTGGAAAAAATGTTGCATCTTGCTTCCATTTTCTTTTATCGCATAGGGCCTACGTGATATACATGTACATGTATCATCTCAGTGATGGTGAGTTATTCCAGAAATGCAGAAAGACATGAATCTGGGACTGAGAAAAATTTCCAATTTTCGGAGATGGAGGACCTTGCAATATGTCACAGCTACACAGTGCAGCACGAGTCGCACATCACATGTCCTGATCGCGATGGTGGTCACGCAATGAAAACAAGTAAGGTTTGTATCCCCTGCCACCAAAAGTGGTCAAACCAAGATGCAGAGCAAGCATGAACATTGGTTGGCCCAATGCATGCACAGTTTGATAAAAACAATTGGCATGAACGCTGTGAATGGAGCAATTGTTGGCGGATAGAAGCAAGAGATTGGTGAAAAAAAATCTCATTTTTTTGCAAAAACTACTCAGTCTCATGCTCTGAAACATTGTTCCATCCTTTTTTAAGAGCTGTAGATTACTCAGGTTGGCTGTCAAGGGAAAATTTGATTTGTTTCACCTGTGAATCATTCACGGATCAAGATCAATTCCAAAAACCCATGTACCATACTATAGCATTACAACACCATGTAAACTGCATCGGCTTGTGATTTGAGTTCTCGGAGTACACGTGAGATGAGTATAGGCAAGAAAAATATTGAGGAGTTCATGTACACACACAAAATGCTTAGAATTTTTCAGACAAGTCTCGTAAGTCACAGGGATTGTCAGTGATTGTGCACACAGTGTACCTAAACTCCGTTTGTGGCATGTATGGAACTCTTTCCGTCATTGACTCGTGGGTGATTCTACCTCCATGATGTGATAACTAAGACTTCGTGGTATTGGATGGTTACGTAAATTTTACACGCACAACTTTAATGTTAAAGAGCAAACCTAACAGCAGTAGTGTCAGCACTTTAACATCAAAGTTGCACGTGGAAAATTTAACCACCCATACTCGATGTGTGTACTCCGGACCATAGACATCGTGATAATGGACGGAGGATAGGAAGGAACACGACTGCGCGAATCCGGCCCCACAATTTCACAACCATTTCACATACAAAATGACCGCTATGTACCCCTAAAGAAGCTACATATTTTACCTGTTGAATTAATTGGTGGCAGGTTCGGTGCTGAAGGAGCAATGCCTTCATTTTCGCTACTTTCAGAATTACTTAAGAGCGGTTCGCTTTCTCCCCGTCTGCCGTCCGCCATCTTGGCTGACTAAAATGAATAATGATGCACGCATACGTCATACGTCACAAAAAGTTCGGGTTAATCATGTGATATGATCACGTGCCAATTTGTATTTATAATGTGTCATCGGGGCCGGGGAAGAGTAGGGATATTTCGCAAATTCTTCTGATTCTATTTTTTCAATACGTAGAACATTTACTTCAACGTTGTTATTGTCACTCGTACATACCACAAATATACAGCATTATGCAACAGAACTATTTATAGGATTTTATAATAATTTTTTGTCCTTAGATTGGTTGTTTGGTTTTGACGTATGGGCAATTTTGTTAATGTACTGAACAAGTTGTATTTGTGGTCTTTTCCTTCCTCCATGGTTTGGGTAAGAGCTAATATGGATCATCAAATCCATGCAATTTGAAAGGACAGTTTCTTTAGAAAAAATAAAAGAACTACAATATATAGTGAGACTTGTTTCAAAATAGTGGGGTTGTACCATGGAGACTCCTTCCTCCAGGGTTATACAAAAACCCAATAAATTTTCATCTTTGTTAAACTCCTGGCCTCAAGGTTCAAGGTCACTTTAGTCAAGCCAGAAGTTTTTCTCTTGAGATTCAATGGCAATGACGTTAAAAGGTTACAAATTTTCCATTCTTTGTAAAAAGAAAAACATTTGTTTTCCAAAAAGCCAAATTAATTTCCAATACGGAATTTACTTCATTACTGCACTTGTTTTATACATACAAGTTTCTGCTGTCATTTCAAATGAAAGCAACTGTACCAATAACACACTACAATTTAAAGCAAGTCTCCATTTATTTCAACAAATTCTTTCCCTTTTTTAGCTGTCAATCAATCAAAAGAGGCACTAAATTCTTATAAGATATTGTAATTTGTTCAAATAATGAGAACAAATATATGATACACATAATTCTTCCTTTCCCCTCCCCCAAAAGACCCTATGGGACAATATCTGACAAGACTGCAAGAGGAACATGTCAGAGATACAGGTATCAGGGTTGAGATTGGAGAAAAATGACATATCCACCAAAAAATCATCAGCAGTGTTTTCCTAATTTTTGTGCTCTATATCAATGTAAAAGCACCTTAACAGCAAACATGGGTTTTTCAAAACTTTGCAAGAGATTGTTTGAAAAATCCTGCAGTCAGGAAAATCTTAATTAAAAATCATGAAGTCAGGAAAAATTCCTAATGTTTTCAACGTTGCCAAGGATACAATAGAATACTTTCAAGAGACTTTAAGAAACGATTTATCTGGCCTGAGGTATGAAAGAGTAATTCTAAATTTCTGAGGAAATCACATCTGAACTCACTGAAGGTAAACAATTATCTGGAAAAAGAAAAGCATTCAAGATTTGCTGAAGTTAGCCAAAAGATGGCATATGTGACAGCTTGAGTCCTACAAAATGAATCTTCAGGATATTTTCATTGATATGTGAATTTTTATATGCACTCCAACTTGCACACATTAAGTTTATTTCATTTCATCTGGCATGCATCCTAAAGCATATTTACATTACATAAGCGGGACCACTGACAATTCATACACAAGACCCAAGGCTTGTAATTCCTAAGTAGCTCTGGGAATTTCTAGCTGCTTGCATGGGTCACATAAAGCATATGTTGTTTAGCACTAGATGTGCACATATGGAATTTTTACTCGTTTTGTAAATAGTGAAAGGGGTTAAAGTACAGAGAATAAGAAATCACTTTTTCTCGGCGGTAAAATGTGAACTTTTGACATATCTTAATGCAGCATCCGATTCATGAAATAAATTTTGCCTTCAGAAAAGAGAGTGGTGAGGGTTATAAATCCCTTGTTATGGTCTATCTCAGAACCATAGCTGAGGCAGGGCTCTAATGATTAGTTACTACTATCAACAAATGCTACATACAAATACATGTACCGGTAGCATACAAAATTTCATTTTAGTGGCTGGCAAAGCAACAAGTGCATTTAGTACAGCACAAAAATTAACAGCTGCAAAAAATGTGCAGTCAGTCATAATTTTATGTATTACTTTAACTTATCTGGCTAGAACCCTGTGAGGTTTTGAAAAAACCTGCCTCCCTCGGATATATTTTGTCACAATGTACTGATTACAGAAGGAGTTGAAGCTGCAGTATGAAATAATTAATACATGTAACGTTAGACTTTTGAGCTCAGTAATAAATAAACTTGCATTAACTACCATTACCTGAGCTGCTTTATGTGGCAGAACAATTTTCTGACCGGAAGAATTCAGATTTCATCAGCTACAGCTTCCACAGGTCATTTTGGCACAAAATTTCTTCTTAACATACATGTCATAATTCATGCTTCAAACTGTCATACTAAGGTTCAACATGAATGCACATAAGCATATTTCAGATATAGAGCAGCGTTAGTCAAGAAAACATCCCCCCCCCGGGGAGTGAGGATTACACCTTACTTCTTGGGCTACCAAAGGAGGAAAATAAAATATAACAAAATGGAATAACAGATGCCTGCAGCTCCAGAACCAAACTTGGATCCATCCCCGTTTTGAGCAGTTCATTAAGTTAGAAACAGACCTGTAACATAATGACATCACGTTTTGTTTACATACATGGTACATGTTTTGCTTTCCTAGTAGTAAAGTGGGATGTTACCCATCGAGTCCCATAGGAAAGCACACATGTAAACAAATGTGAGATCTACTTTTGGATGTTTTTTGGCCCTGCCCTATGGGTATTGTAACACTGTAGGGCAGGGCAAAAAACAAACAAAATTAAATTAGCATGTCCCCAACGCAAATCCATCCTTAGAAATAAATGTG